GCCGACTGGCAGGAAGACTGGACGGATCGTCGCTCTTACGTACCGCCTGGATCGCTGCACAAGGCTTGTTCAGAGCCGCACCGCTCTTGGCGCAGTACAGTGTCGTCGAGCCGGCGTGCCAAGGAGCATGTGCTGCGGCGTCTTTGGTGGGCGAGGGGAGGCGGACGGCTTTGGGCTCTCGACGGTTTGGGGGCGGCTACCAGCTGTTATTTGATGCCAGACACCCACCCACTGCCCACTGCCCTCTACCCGAGACTGAACTAGGCCGCCCTCCTCAGCCTGCACGCCATCCCATGCCTGCACCTGTGCATTTGTAAATACGCCGGCCCAGCTTCCCCGTCCATTGCGCCCCCCCGGCACCGCTGCTCCCACTGGCTGTCGCCGCGAGAGAACCCCATCCTCCCCTCGCCTGTCACGCTTGATGGGAGGGGCGTCTGCAAACTCTGTTTCCCCTCCTCACGCCTCCTCGCACCACCGCCAGCTGAACCCCCTCCACGACGTCTGCTACACTCCTTGTCTTGCTGCCATGGCCAGCATTGCAAACACTGTCAACACTGTGCCCAACTCCACCATGGCGCTTCCGTCCACTGTTTGTCCGAGCCGGGCGCTTGTCGTGATACCTTCGGCCCTGTTTCCGTCTGCCATCGCGATCCCTTACTACCCTGGCACCGATCTGAGCCAAGCTTCGGTGCCAAGCTGGGCCGCAAGGCTTGTTGGTGGCACGTTAGTGCGACACCTGGATTCGTCCTATTACATACCATTACGGGGACAAAGGGGCTGAAACTTTTTGCTGACGACCCATACTACTCTTGCTCCGGAACACTGGCTATGCATGTTTGACGGAGACTGGACCACCGTCGATGACGAGGCGCTACAAGCATCCCCTCCACCACCTACTCGACATCAGCTAGGGACCGTCGGATATGTCCCCAATCATGCACATTCAATCATTTGACACATGACTCTCCTTTGCGTTGTCTCTCTGACTCCACCCATACAGTGTACAGACACCCTCTTCTCTGCTCTTTTGTACTAGCACAAACATGTTTCTCGGGCCGTCACGTCAACGGGGCATGTTGTCCCGAGTCTGTACGGGTTCCACCGGATGTCCTGTTCCCGGCACCCATCCTGCTGTACAACAGTAATGCCGCTACGCTTACGCCTGCTGCATGCGGTTGGCTATTTGGAGGCACATCTGGGACATTTGTGATATATCCCTTACCAAAATCCTGGTCTTCATGCTCGTACTCTTACTAAGCTGATAAACTCGAATCCTTCCTTCAGGAGGGAACATCCTGACAAAACATTGGGCGCCATTGCATACTCATAGTTACATAAAGATCGTCGTCACCCAACTTGCTGCGTTAAGTCACGTGCACCCGATCGGCAGGGCCGCCGATAGAAATCTTACACGCACATGTATTAGGGTAAGACCGCAGAACGTTCCGTAGGTGCACGGTTTGCGGTTCGATCAATAGACGTTACAAACCAAATCTCACCGTTGTGTACTAGATCTGTCAGACGGAAACAGAAAGGACACAGACGCAAGCGGAGAATGCATCCACAATAGCGTTAACCCTCCATGTCAGGACATACAGCTCAGTGTTAGTGCAACATGGCAATATATCCCATTTTCCATTCGAGTGTTAGTTCGGCGCTTTCAACATCGCCCAATCATCTGCTTATATTACTGTTCGGACAGTTGCGGTGGTATAGCAGCTGTTGTGCAGGTTGGTGCTGGTGCTAATCACGTGGCTTACGAAAAGAGTATATACGTCCTAGCCAATCAGCTTCGAGCTGCGAGTCCTCAATCAATGGGACCTTCCGAGCCTCTCTCTTCGGGCTGACATGCTGCCCGAAAAAGCAATTACCCGCGTGATTCTTTTGCGGTTTGTCCATTGATGACAATAAACCATGTCGCATCGACTGCAACAAGCAGTTCACACTTCACGGAATGCTAGGAGGCGTCGGGTCAAGGCTTAACTTGATAAAGAACTCCAAGATAGTGAGGCGGCATGGCTTTGAGGCTTGCGCCGCTTGGGCCGCTAGCGCATAATGACATCGCCCAACCCTGGTGGGCTCCTTCCTTCACGTGTAACCCACAACCAGCGACGCCATCGCTGTTTATGGCGATTCAACTTTCATCTTGGCAATGCTACCTATAAGTAAACATAACAAAACTTGTCCCGACGAGACTGGAGATCCCTGGGGCACTTTGCGCCCACGCGATGTCCGTCTCCAACTCTACCTCTCCCTAGGCCTAGGCGTGGGCGCATTTCTTATCTTTTGCGTATGTTTTGGCACCTTCCAAACGGCTGCATGCCTGCTAACTGGCTGCATCAGTTTCTTCGCCCACGATGGAAAGGCCTCTACGCTGCGCGCAAGAAGCAGAAGAACCTCGCAACGGCGCTCCCCGACCTCCCCGACAGCTTTTTCGGCTGGATGATACCACTATGGAACATCACCGACGAACAGGTGCTGGCCTCGGCTGGCCTCGATGCCTACGTATACCTTGCATTCTTCAAAATGGCAATCAAGTTTCTGCTCATCACCCTCTTCTTCGCCCTCGTCGTCATCAAGCCAGTACATGATACCCACCAGGACAAAGAGGGAAAGAAATCTCCAATCCACATCGACCCAGGCTCTGAGCACATTGAGGTTCGCAGTACCTTTACTACATTTGCCGCCGAATATGAACGCTACACCGACTATCTGTGGATGTATCTCGTCTTCGTCTACCTCTTCACCGCCCTTATCTTATACTTGATTGTCTCGGAAACTAGAAGGATTATTGAGATTCGACAAGAGTACCTTGGCGGCCAGACGACCATCACCGACCGAACCATCCGGCTTTCCGGTATTCCCGTCGATCTTCGCTCGGAAGACAAGATCAAGGCGTTCATCATGGATCTTGGTATCGGAACGGTGGAGAGTGTAACGCTATGCAAGAACTGGAAGGAGCTGGATAGCAAGGTTATTGAGAGGCGTGGCATCGTCAGAAAGCTCGAGGAAGCCTGGACTGTTCATCTTGGTACCCGAAGGGTGGAACGCAGCCTCGAGACTCTTCCGGTAGTCCAACCACAACCACCAGAGCCCTTGGCCGATGACAGCAACAACGACAACGAGAGAAGCAATTTCCTGAGCGACACAGAGCGCGACTCTAGCCACATCGTCCCCTATGCCAAGAAGCGCCCGAAAATCAAACTATGGTACGGCCCTCTCAAGCTAAGATATAAGAAAGTGGATGCCATCGACTATTATGAAGAGAAGCTGCGAAGAATCGACGATGAAATCAGAGCTTTGCGCAAGAAGGAGTTTGAACCAATGCCTCTGGCGTTTGTGACAATGGACAGCGTTGCGAGTGCTCAAATGGCGATTCAGGCCGTACTCGACCCTTCACCATTGCAACTCTTGGCAAGAAACTGTCCAGCACCGTCAGACGTTGTCTGGTCAAACACGTATCTGACTCGTTCTCAAAGGACGTTCAGGTCTTGGTCCATCACAGTCGTCATCGGCATTCTGAGCGTGTTCTGGACGGTTCTTTTTGTGCCCATTGCCGGTGCTCTAAACACATGTTCTATTGCTGGGGTTCTCCCTGGGCTTGCGGAGCTGTTGGAGAAGCATGAAACTCTTGAATCAATTGTCAACACCCAACTTCCGACGCTGGCATTGACTCTTATCAACGTAGCTGTTCCTTTTCTATACGACTGTAAGTAGACTGGCTCTCACCAGTGATTACCACTTACGCTAACGATTTGCAGGGCTTGCAAACAAGCAAGGCATGATCTCGCAGGGTGATGTTGAGCTATCAGTCATTTCGAAAAACTTCTTCTACACCTTCTTCAACTTCTTCATACTCTTCACTATCCTAGGAACAGCGTCCGGGTTCCTGGCTATCCTTGAGGGCTTTGCCGAAAAACTCACAAGTGCCACGGAGATTGCATATGCTCTGGCTACCTCACTTTCCAATTTGTTAGGCTTCTACACCAACTTCATCATGTTGCAAGGGTTCGGAGTCTTTCCGTTCCGACTGCTGGAATTTGGCGCTCTTTCCCTGTACCCGGTCTACTTGATGGGTGCTAAAACACCTCGGGACTACGCTGAGCTTGTGCAGCCGCCAGTCTTCAGCTACGGTTTTTACCTGCCGCAGACGATTCTCATCTTCATCATCTGCATGGTCTACAGTGTATTGAAGGACTCTTGGCAGGTTTTGCTTACTGGCCTAGTCTACTTCATGATTGGCCACTACGTTCACAAATATCAGCTTTTGTATGCTATGGAGCACCGCCAGCACTCAACTGGAAAAGGTTGGACTATGATGTGTGACCGCGTCATTGTCGGCGTTGTCCTCTTTCAGATCACTGTCGCTGGTCAATTGGCTTTGAAAAAGGCTTTCAGGCGCGCAGTGCTCATAGCCCCGCTCGTGGTTGGCACTCTGTGGTTTTTGTTTGTTTTTGCACGCACCTATCGGCCACTGATGAAATTTATTGCTCTCAAAAGCCTGCGAAGGCCAGAGCAATCTGACCTGGGTCGCGATGTACAAGAAGAATCCTTTGGCCCTGGGCGAAATGGCCGAAGGATCATGGGCAGACTCACCTTGGACGAAGCCCGCGAGAGCGGTCTACGTTTTGAGAATCCTAGTCTGGTTATGCCGTATGTATTTCTTCTTCACTGTTGACTACTGGTGCTGACCTTGTCCAGGCTTGACAATGTTTGGATCACCAACAAACCCGCAACATCTCCAAGTGGATCAGATAGTTCGGCGGCCAATGGTGCTGACGGCAACTGGAACTAACATGATTGCACCTTGCTTGGTGTTTACGCTCACGACGCCCCTTTGTGTATCACGTCACGATGTCAATTTCCTGTAATACGCTTTTACTCGCTTGCTTATTTTGTGATTTTGTTCCTTCGCTCATTTGTGTTTAATTGATACCCTCGTACGCAACGCAAATTGGTTATGAGTTTTTATGAACAATCTTTACCTTGGAAAGCCTGATTCAACGAGCCCCTTTTGACACACGACCATCTTCTCCACCCCCAATGCCTCCCTCGTCCTCGGAAAACTTCCAAACTTTGCACTTGCCTGCATCCGTAACCGCCGAGATAACAAGACACGGACTTGTCTGCACGGAAATCTCACAAATATTCGCCAGCGTAGTTATGCGGGTACCGCGTAGAGAAAGCGGCCACGTGGGTCCCTCCTGATGATGCACCGCGCCAGTCTCGCCATTCGCACGCGGTTCGTCCCACCAGTTGAGCCAGTGGTTAGTATCATGTTGGAGCGAACCATCTGGTTGGTCCTCGGTGGGAGAAAAGCGGCATACACGGCGTGGGACGGAGTATAGCATGATGGTATCGTCGTAGACGGCCACTATGCGTGCGCCCTGGGACATGTCTGCTGCAGCGCGGTAGAGCTTTGGTGGTGCTTCCCCGTTTGTCGGGGGGACGAATTCGATTTTACGGACGAGCTCGTCGGTGCCTAGGACGAGGCGGTTGCTGATCTGGTCGACGAAGAGGACGTGGGAGCCGTTGTCGTCCAGGGGGATGCGGTTGTAGTAGTCGTAGTCGTAGTCGTAGTAGCCTGTGGGGTTTGGCTGGCGAGATGCAATTTCGTATTTGGAGGAGCCGTGCCAGTGGGCGTTGGGGAAGAGTCTGCGTTTTAGCCAAGGGCGGTTGGCGTGGTGGGCGGGACTGGACAGGATACGCAGTATGTTTGACGAATCGTGGGCTGGTCGTCGTCGTGGGCGCACGTAGACGTGGTCGTTTGGGGCTGTGGAGGGAACCCAGCGATGGAGACTTTGGCCTGAAGGGGAGTCGATCCATTGTACGTCCAGCCCTTCTGAACAGCCAAAAACTACACACTGGCCTTGGGGGCATAGAGCGACGCTCCGTGGTGGGTCATCCTCGGAGCCCAGATGGCTGTAAATGGTCGAGTCGTCTTCGACCAAGTTCCACGTCTGGTTGACCAGGTTGTGCTCATACAGAGCACTATTGTTGGCGCCCGTGATGCTTATCCTCTCGCTGTTTGACACGATATCAATCGTGTTGAACTGCGTACGCTCCTGCTCTTCCTCCTATGGGCCATGCCCAAACACCTCTTCTGCCAGTTTTCGCACCATACCCACCCGGCCTTCCAAGATGGCAGCAATGGCGTATCTACTACTACCGCCATATGGGCCCATGGTCATGGCCAGTACTCGTCCTGGGCATTCGACGCTTGCCATGTATACCGGACGGCCAGCGTCGAGCTGGTAAATCCGGATCAGCGCTCCCTGGGCTACGCACAGAAACCGCGAGCAGGTACTTGTGGTGAATATTAGTTCACTACTACTACCGCCGACTTGGCTGTCCCTCAGCCCGCTGAAATCCACCTCTGAGCTCTTGGTGAATACTGCCTCTGTTTCCACCCCAGCCCGGCCTGGCGCCAAGGCACATTCTCTGGCAAGTTGGCAGCTGAGCATTTGCCATCCCTTGCTGGTATCCTCGCCCGTCCATCCACCCCTCTCCAGCATTACCGCCAGCAGACTCCTATCCAGACTGGCCTCCATCCATGCTCGGCATGTGCGCCGAGCAGCGTTGAAGTCCTTTGGTCCCAGGTATCCATATATTTGCTGGAAGATTTCAACTGGAAGACCCTTTGTTGAGGCCATATTTGTTCTATTGTTGTTGTTGTTGTTGTTGTTTTTTGCAAGTTGGTTTGGTGTAGTAGTCGTCTTTGGAAGGGGGGAAATTGGAGAGTATGTTGAAGTTATGATAGGAGTCCTTTGGGCAAGGAAAACAGGCGTATATAAAGCATAAAGGGAGAGGGTCAAAATTCAAAGTATATGTTAGAAATGCGAAAAATTGTAACCATGGTTGTGAGTTTTTCGAGGGCATAGTAGAAATGCGACGGATTGTATCCGTGGTTAGAAAAGTGGGTATCGCGAAGGCAGATTGTTGAAAGCAGTGGTATCCCAAGAAATACCCACATTTACTACAGCAATCCATCTATCCAAGATATAATTTCCGCAACCGTTGAAATTACCCACGGTTTTGCATTTTGACATGGTAGTGAATATAATTATGGTTCGTCTTGTATCATCCCTCCCCACTCCAAAACCAGAAAAACCACGTGATATCTGAACGCAAAGGAGTGTTAAATCCCATTCCCTTTTCAATTTTCAGCACATGAAGAGATTTTCATATAAAGTTTTATTGCTGAGTAAGTTTTCTTGACATTTCCTTCCCTTAATCACCTAACTGCAAAACTAATTTCAGAGCTAAGATTCTATACCTAGGTATTACTATATACATGTCTGGAATTTTCTCTTTATGCATAGTTACACAAAGATGTAGTGTCAAGTGTTACTACCTCTGCTGTTGTTTCTGGGAAACACGCCATGTTCACCGCTTGATGCGACAAATTGAGGGATGTCATGACGTGATTCTGGTTAATATACGACACGTGACATGGGGTGAGGTTAAAGCGTTGTTGCATAGTTTTTAATTTCTCTACTGGCATGTGATGGGTATTGAATAGTTTGAGTGGAGTTACTGTTTGTCTTGATGTCGCAATGTCTGCTAAGTAAAGTGAACTTCTTTTTTGTTTCTTCTGTGTCTGGCAAGGTTTGCGAGTATGATTGTATCCATGTGTATACTGTTGCGCCTCGTGTTGGAAGCATGGGATAAGTCTTGATTTTTGTTCATGTGAAAGCTTAGGAGGTTGAGTGATATAGACAGGCGGGGCTGGTTGATATGGATGGTGGTATGATATAGATATGGGTGTGGACATGAACATCAACGTGAGGACGTTGGCTTGAAAGTGTGCACAGCAAGGCTGCATGTCCAAGTAACATGCAAAGACTAAAGGAAAACTGTGAAGAATGGTTCAAGTTGCCCAATTCAGAAGGGATATGTTTTTGAGTGGGTAGCTCTTTCCAGCCCGAAGATTTTCGGCATGTTTACTGTATGGGGCCAGCAAAGGATAAAACAAGGCAAAGAAGCAAGACATGTTGGACAAGAATTAATACCAGGATGGTGAATGTCGCGCACGAGGATGATGATCCTGCCAACGGTGAAGCCGATGATTGCTTATTTTGCAAGAGAGGCAAAAGAAAGGAAAGGTAACCAGTTGTTTAGCAGCGTGGGCAGCGTGAGTGGATGTCGAGGGGTTTTGGCGAAGAGAATTTGCAAGTCGACAGTGCGTAGGTTGTTAAGGACCAGGAAGGAAGTATCGATAAAATGGAATGCGGATATCAAGCGAGATTAGGCAAGAGGGAGCGGGGCGGGGGAGTGGGAATTGTAAGAATCGGGGGATTGAAAATAAACTAGGTAGGGCGGAACACGTAATCACGGGCACAAAGGGCCGAAGGGAGAGCAAAGCACAATGGGGAAAAGCATTGGCGATCATCCGCTTGTAATACGTGCGGACAGGCCTTCCCAACAGTTGCGAGGGCTGATGGTGAGGTCGAGGGCTGAAGAGTGCAGATCGATCAAAGGCCATGCTGTTGTGTGTTGGGGGACGCACGGAGAAGGAGATGCAGGTGACGATGGCATGACCCAGCTAGCTAGCCAGCCAGCCCGCCCCACCCCGCCTCCCCTGGCGAGAATTATTCTAAATCTATGTAGGCACAGTAGATTACGCGTTCGTGAGCGGGGTGGAGGCTGGAGCAAAACATGGACGGGGAGACAAGAGAGGCTGGAGGGTGTTGAGGGAGCGAGGGGCGGGAGGGCTAAGGGATGACGGTGTCATGTCCTGCAGCGAGCTGTGCAGCAATGCGATGCATCGGAGCAACGGGGTTGGGCGGCGGGTGCAGTAGCGAACCAGAGGGCGTGTTTGGGGCTGGGGAGGAAGCAGTCTATCGAGAGGCATAATCAAAAGGAAATTTGGCAAAAACATGCGTGACGGGTGGCTGGCAGCAAGGAACAGGCTAAGGTTCAGGGTTTGGGTGAGGGCAGGGCCAGAGTGTGGTGGTCAGCATGACGTGCGGAGAGAAGCGGCTGCGACATTGTAAGTATGTGCGTGTGCGCGTATATGTGTGAGTGGATGGACGTGGTGGTAGTAGGTGTATGTATGTGGTATGTGTGTAGTGTATGCAGCGCCAGCGCCAGCGCCAGCCACCTGGAGGAGAAATGGCGGAATGGAGTAGACAATAGTGTACTAGCAAGTGAGTAGTACCAAGCAGAGGGGACAGGAGGTTTTAGGGCGGCGATGGGAGGATGCAGAGCAGCAGCAGCAGCAGAGCAGATGCGTGTCGCAGGCGTAAGTACAATACAGTCGAGAACAAAAGGGCTAGCAGCAGCAGCGTCAGTGCGGGCCATGATGGCGGCATGGATGGGGCACGCCACTGTAGACGGCTCCCCCCTGAGCTCGGCTGGCTTGACAAGAGGCGTGTTGCAGCCGGCCATGTCGACACGTGTGTAGGGAGGGCATGTAGGGAGTTGAGGTAACGCAGGAGAGGGTACAGGGCGGAAGCAGAAGCAGAAGCAGAAGCAGGCAAAGTCCGTGAGTCCGGCTGCTGCAGGCATGCGGGTGCCAAGGCGTGTTTTTGTTATGAATTATCGGAATTGCTTTGTGGCTGGGGGTGGAGTGGCACCGGGTAGCGAATACCAGCAGGCCGGCGGCGAGCGGTGGTGCATGAGGTGCAGCCAACGAGGCATGCCTGTGTCAATCGTTTCCTTGGGGAGCTATCCAGTCTTCGGCAATGGGCTTGCGGGCGGCAGAAGGGCAGGCCAGATGACGACGCGGCGATGCGGCGATGCGGCGATGCGACGATTGTCGTTGAGGGCGTGGGGCGTGAGTGTGGTAGGCTGGCCGGGCTGGAGGCGTGCAGGCTAATTTTGGCGTGCACAGGAGGGTCCCTGACATGGAGTCTGTGTCTGTGTGCATGTGCATCCTGGCATCCTGACATCCTAGCAGCCGCCCACTTGGTGTCCCACCACCCCTCGACCAGCAGTTTGCCGTTTGGGACTGGAACTGGGTGACAGCGCCCGCCAACACCAACACGGCAACGTGCCAGACGGGCCCTCTTGACGCCGCACGCTCACGACCAGACCACGATGGTGATGATGGTGAATGGCAACCCGACAGCAACAACAACAACAACAACAACAACAACAACAATGGCCAGGGCCAGGGCCAGGGCCAGGGCCACAATGGACTGCAGGTCGAGTTGAGAAACATCAGACGGTGCCCAAGAAGGGCAGTCGTCGATGGAGTCCAAGCGGCACTATGCCTCGTACGGCGCCCCGCTATAGAACGGTACCTTTTGATCCCCATCTGTCCCTAGTACACAGTAGGCTCGTTGCTCGGTTGGCTGACGGCGGCGGCGCACTCCTGACTACTGCTGCTGCTGCTACTACTGCTGTTGCTACTGCTGCTGCTGCTACTGCTGCTACTGCTGCTACTACCACCATCTGTCTGTCTGCCTGCCCACCCGCTTGTCTACTACTTACCGGCTTGCTTGCTTGCACTTGTCTGCCCTACCCCAGCCATTGCCAGCTACTGCCATCCGTGCACTCATTCTCTTATACTCTACTCGCTCGCTGGCCAGTCGTTTGCTCCACCTGCCCGCCTCTGCCCTCGTCGACATCCACCCTTCTGTTTTTTGTTGCTGTTGCTACTGCTGTTGCTGCAAGACACTGTCGCTCGCTGCTCCTGCTCCTGCTTCCTGCGCCTCACCACCCCTACCCGGTAAGTCCGTCGCCGTTCATCCATCCATCCATCAGGAACCCTTCCATCATGTCGGCATGAGCGGATCATCCATTTGCATTCACCCCCCTCCAGCCTTGACAGCCTCCCGCTTAATTGGCCACAATCCAAACCCCCGTGTTGCCATGATGATGATGACGATGGCCGACCCGGCCCTGGTGCCATTCGTGCCTAGCCAGCACGGTCCCGTCGTTGAAACACGGCGATACGAAGACACCAGTCCCTCTCAGCTCATCCACCACCATTCACCGTCTGCGCCTCCCTCCGCATGCGCCTGCGCCCCCCGTCACCTCTATCGGTCAATACCACGCCGCCACGCGACAACACTCGTTTGATGCACAACTAATTCGACTCTGTAGAAGATATCCACTCGCTCCCTCACCCGTCCGCCCGCTGATCCTCCGCCGCCGCTACACCACCTCGGCTCCTGATCGCATCCATCGCACCCGCCCCAGACTGCCCCCAACTGCATCCGCCTTCGCCGAGTTGCCTTTTGGTTGCATGATACTGTCGCTTCACGCTTGAGAGAGGCCGCTGTAGCCAGTGGCGGGCGCTCCTTCCACTGCAAATTCACAACAAGCAGCAGCACCACCATGGTCAAGCCAGGTCTCGGCCTCTTCACCACCCGCCGCAAGTCGCAGGGCAATGTTTTCGAAGAGGTCGACGTTGCCACCAGCCCCGACACGACGGCTCCCCCTGCGCCCCAGCCGGCACATGCAGACTCTGGCGGCTTCCGTCTGTTGAGCAGGACAGAAGTGGAAAAAGCCAAAGAACAGCGCAAAACACAAGAGAAGGAGCGTTCTTCAAAGTTCCCTCGCTTCAGCAGCTTGGGTAGCAAGAATCGCAACCAGTCTTTTGACGACGATTCTCCAGGCTCGTCTAAGCGGTAAGTCTCTACCCGCTAAGTCATAGCGTCGGCCGGACTGACCCTTTAATTAGCGACAGCAAGTCAAGCAGTGGGACTCAATTTTCCACATCGAGACCCTATGCCAATGGGCAGCATGGCTCCACATCTACACTCCCTTCTTCCACCGACGCCAGTTCTGACGACAACCTTTTTACAAACATTCCCCGTCCTGCTCTCCACCAACACAACAGCTCTCCCGGCCCCCACGCAGTAGCCGCCCTCAAGAAGCAACTCCCTCCACAGCCAAAGTCCAACTCGGGCGTGTCGTCATACAAGGATCTATCCAACACAGGGTGGAGTGGCCGAAATAGGGCCATGACTACGTCCAGCTATGCCAGCACTGCTGTTCCCCCTAAGCTCGAGGCAGACCTCAGCTTTGGTGGCTTCGAGGACGACATGTTCAGCCATCTCCAACGCAAGGGCTCACCCGAAGCACAACGCGAGCCAACGGGACGCTCGTTGCTCGCTGAGAAGCGCACTGTTCAGCCAGAGCCCATCAAGATCAAGTCACAGTTTGACGTTGAACCACCGATGAAAAGCTGGGACAGCCGCAACTCCGCTGACAACCTCATGGCCTCGTCACACTCGGACCGCGAGGCCTCACCGCCTCCGCCTCCGCCTCACAAATACTCGGCCTACGCCCCTGTCGCCTCCGAGAGTCCTACTTTCCACCCCAGCTCTACCTTCCACGACCCCGACGCCCAAACCGTCCGCAAGTCCTTCATGGAAAGAAACTCGTACCACGATACACCCCCTGAATCAAAGCCAAACTCCATGTCGTCGTCATCGGCAAACTCTTACGAGACACCATACTCATCACGATCCGTCACAAGCACAAACAACAACAACAATAACAACGCCACCCCAAAGGCTGCCCCGGCACCCGCAGGACCATCGTCGTCGTCCGATGACAAGCAGGATGAAGACTTGTTCTCGCAATCAAAACCTGCACCCGCACCGCACCAAGTACCCACAATACGGAAGCCTGCGGCTCTTCCCTCTCAAAACAAGGCCTTGTCTGCCCCTGCTTCAGATGTCAGTCGACGCGTCATGTCACAAGCTGAGTTCCGCGAGTATCAACAAAAGGCCATGACGCAACCGCCGCCAGAGGAAGACTCCGAAGAGGAAGACTACGAAGACGAGGAGGACGCCATCAAGCGGCGAGAGGAAGAGGAGCTCATGAGGCGGAAGAACCAACAGATGCACTTTGCTCGTGAGGCCATGAAACGCTCAACTACCGCTTCGGGAAATCCCGCTGAGTCTGGACCCGACGCCATGGGTTTCCCATCCGAGACATCCATGAAGGCAGAGGAGTGGGAGGACGAGGACGTGCCCTTGGGTATCCTTGCTCAGCACGGCTTTCCCAGCCAAGCCCGCAACAGGCATCCAAGCCAGCCGACAAACGCCATGCCGTCTTATATACCAGATCGTCCAGCCTCTGCTGGAGCCATGAGCCAGCGTGGAGCCAACAACATGAGCCTTCCCGCCTTTGCCCGACACTTGCCCCAGGATCCCTACAGCAACTCCGTCATTGGTGGTGGCTTGATCCGACCGACAAATCGCGAGTCAATGGGTTTCAACGGCTTTGCTCAAGGCCCTGCATCGGTTGCCGGTGACTCGGTTGTTGGCGGCGGCATGCCCATGCCTCACAACGTGGTATACCAGGAGGCCGGCTTATCGCAGCCCTCGCTTGTAGATCAGATTCAGATGCGGGATATGACCAAGCAAAAGTACATGGGCGGTGGTTCGGCCAAGAAGCCTCAAGCTGGGCCTTTTACTGGTATGCTTGGCCAGCAGATGAATGCCAACGGCCAAGCCCAGAACCCCATGCGCATGTCACACATGCCCATGATGAACGGCATGAACGGCATGAATGGCATGAACGGCATGAATGGCATGAACGGCATGAACCCGATGATGAACATGATGGGCGGCCAAATGGGCATGGGCGGCATGGGAATGGGAATGGGAATGGGTATGGGCGGCATGGGCATGGGCATGGGTCAGATGGGATACCCAATGGTACAAGGGAGCGACTACATGCAGCAGATGCAACAGATGCAGCAGATGCAGCAGATGATGGCCATGCAGCAGATGCAGCTTCAAATGATGCAGCAGCCCCAGCAAGATCCTCGCATATCCATGGCCATGTCCAACAACGGCTATGCAGCCAGCACCATTGGTGGCGGCCCCACCGCCAACTACCTCAACGTACCCGGTAACCAAAGCCGAACAATGTCGTTTGTAGGAGGCAGCGGAAACCCACCACCACCGCCGCAGCAGCAGCAGCAGCGTACAATGTCCCTTATGGGCCCTCATCCAGGGTACACTCCCTCCATCGCACCATCCGAGCGTTCTAACGTTGGTTTGTCCGCTAGGTATCGACCGGTCGCGAATCACTCGGACGCCATGTCCAACGGAACCTCGATGACCCTGCAAGTCGGCGGAGGCGCCAACCAGAGTCGAGCCGGTGCGATCAAAGGCATACTGAAGAAGGGCAGCCCTGGGCCGCAGGTCAGCGTCGCCGAAGTTGATGAAGGCGACGAAGATTGGAGCAAGATGGCTGCGAGAAAGAACAAGTCGCGAGGCAAGGAGAACAACAGTTCAGGCCTCGAGGATCTTACCCGCGGACTCAACATATAGACGTCGTACGTACACGGCTCACGCACATATACGCATTTCGATTATTTACCCCCCTCACATAACCCCCCCAACGCATGTTTGAAGAGAGCGAGAGAGAGAGAGAGACCAAAAAGCAGCAACATAATACGGATGTAATGGACATGGAGAGAATGCGATCCAGGAAACACTTCTTCTTTTTTTTTTAAAGAAAACCTTTTACTCTTTTGACAATACACGGAAGCGATTTTTCGTGGGCCCTTTTTTTGTGTCCCCATGGGTCCTGGGAATTTTTTATGGGGGAAAAAATCCCTAGGACTTGAAACCTTTTGTACATTTGGATAATGTTGCATTTACACCTGGCGTTTATTTTTCTTTACACACATCTGTTGTTCATTTCGGTTGTTTTTTTTCCTCTCTCTTGTTACAAAGGTTCTTGTTCTCTCTGGTTTTCTCTTTAAGGGGAAATTCTTGTTTCTCTTTGCTTTGGAGAAATGAGAGTAGAGAAGGAAAAGGGGACTTTGGGAATTTGGTGATGAAGAGGTTCGGGGGAGAGGAAGCAGGGAGGGGAGAGACAGATGGAGAGAGGGAGGGAACAAAAAAAATATGTAATCATGTAGCGGGATCTTTGTTGTTTTGCACCTCACATTTTTCATGGTCCAAACCTCACTTCTTCTTCTTCCTCTTCTTCGTCGTTTTCATTTTGGCACACGGCTTCTCTTTACTTGTTGTATTCGCATCTCTTGTATATGCACAGGGTCTTTATGTGGATTATTCTATCCTTTTGCATATAGACGTTGGGCATGTATGTAATGGGGGAAATTCCTTTTTTTTTTCTTATTTCGAGTGAGAGTGCCCGAGTTGGGAATAGAAAAAGGTGAATGTGCAGAGAGACCAAAGAGCGAGAAAAAAAATGAAATTAGCTGATGAGACAGAGAGAGAGATGTATAAAAAATGCGTTTTATTTTTGATTTTGGTCTCTCAAATGAATATGTGTGGGGTTTTTTTTTATCGTGTCGGGTTATACAGTATTAGTTGTTACGTTGTTGTTGTTGGTGTTGTTGTGAAGAAAACTCCCGGAGTGAATAAATCATGATATTAGTATCGCAGACACGATGCATGTGTGCATGTTTTGCAAAGTTTTGTGTATAGGCATGCACGTAGCACGTAGCAATGCAAGCATGTATTAACTATAAAAAAAAGAGCGGGAGAAGGGGAATCATGTAGTGGACAGAGAAGAAGGAGAAAAAAAGGGGGGATATCTAGTTCATTATTCTCTCTCTCTCTCTCTCTGCTCTAATGTTTCCGCTGCTGTACTCGCTCATGTCTCATCTAACCCCATCTCTTCATTGAGAAGATACACACACACACGTAGATGGGGGAGGGTGTGGAAAAAGTAGAATCCCGGGGGAGAGGGGATCTACAAATTCAACAAGAGAGAACAACAATAAAAAAAATAAAGAATAATAATCAAGACGCCGCCGCCGCCGCGTAGAAACGCCTTGATTCGTGATCATATCTTTTACATAATCATGTCATGATCAATAGGACGTCTTCCTTCTTTCTTCCTCATCATCTTGTTTCCTTTTTCTTTTCTTTTCTCTCTCTTCCTGTCCTGCTTTGCTTTGACACAACCGGGGTCGGATCTAACCGTCTCGATCCAACAGTTCCCGGGCAGCAATGATTTCTGCCTCCTCAAACCCTTGCCAGTCCTTCTTACCGGACTTGTAATTCCGGATCATTTCGGCCAGCTTGTTTGTTGCGATTTCCTCGAGCTTGCGGATGATTTCGGGGCTGGGTAGCGACACGTCGTCCGAGTCGTCGCGGCGCGTCGTTGCTGATGATGATGTGGCGGGGTCGGAGAGGAGGGTGTTGTTGAGTTTGGAGGTGAGGAGCTTGAGGCCGTAGTAGCCGCGCAGGTACGAGTCGTTGAGCTCGACGGAGCGACAGAAGTGCTTAAGTGCTAGAGCATATGAGGAGAAGTTGGGTGGGTTGTTGGCGGCGGTAGAGAGATAGTGGAGTGTTGCAATGTGGGCGTGGGCCTGGCAATCCAAGGGTCAGCAATGGGGGGACAATGCCAATGGGAGACAAATGGGATTCAACTCACAGTCCAGGCATTGGGCGTGATGAGCAGAACCTCTTCTGCACAGAAGATGGCCTGCCCCCAGGCACTGGTGCTGGCATACAGCTCACTTGCTTCGGCCCAGGCCTCGGCGTCCGTGGGGCTATTGTGCAAGAGTGCCGCTACTGCCGTAATGGCGTCTTGTGTCCTGCCCAGCGCCTTGAGAACAGCAACCCGTCGCTTGCGGATGCTCATGTTGGTGGGGTCGTCCTTGAGGATCTTCTCGTACGCATCAAAGACCTTCTGTAGGTCGGCGTCTGTCTTGGACGTGGCCTCATTGTAGATGCCGCGCAGCGTTATGATGCGCTCGTTGTGGTCGCCAAAGCGCGCCTCAAGCAGTTGTAGAATATCAAGAGCGGCCTTTTCGTCACCGGTACGCAGCGTCGAGAGGAACAGGTTCTCGTGGATGGTCCATGTCTCCGGTGTTTCCCGAGAGAAGAGCAGTGACAGCGGCCAGGGTAGCGATGATGTGGGACTCGATGATAGGATGAGGGGCGCTTTCTGCGAGAGGGCCAGAGCAGTGGGCGGCGGTATTTGCGAGGGCGGCGAGAGCAGATTGGCGTGTGACATGGCTGCAATCGGCGTCGTCAAGGTTGGGGTCCGGCGATGGTCTGCAAGGTGGAATGTGGAGTTGAGCTGTGCTGGACGCCCTGTCCTAGCTCCGCTCGGCCAAACTAGGTAGCGTCCTGCCGCCCGCCGTCGGCGTCTCCACTGCCATTCACGACTGTACGTCGTCCTTGACTTTCCGGAGAGAGAAAAAGAAAGAGAGGAAAGCGGCCTTTACCTCCACACAAAAAAAAACTGCTGCTCTACTACAACTTCTCGCCGTCGCCTATGCCATCAGTCACCTCTTCCTTCATGACTGCCCCATCCCAATGATCATGCCGGCTGGCCCACCACCATTCACACCCTCCCGCCAAACTACCCCTCCTCGCGCCCTCCTACACCTCGACACACGACTGCGCCTGCTCCCTTGAGCGCCCGCAAACATGTACTCACCACCCCCCAATCTCTTCCCTCCAACTACGCACGCTAATCGATTCTCAGGTTCGAGAAATCCCTCTTCGACCTCATCCGAGGCCTGCGCAACCACAAGGGCAACGAGCGCGAGTACATTGCCGAGAGCATAAAAGAATGCCGCAAGGAAATTCGTACAAACGACATGGACCTCAAGGCCACGGCCCTCATGAAGCTCACTTACCTCGAGATGTTTGGCCACGACATGTCTTGGGCCAGCTTCAACGTCTTGGAAGTCATGTCGAGTTCAAAGTTTAAGCAAAAGCGCACAGGATATCTGGCTGCCGTACAGAGCTTCCGCAGGGACACCGAGGTCCTGGTGCTAGCAGAGAACCAGCTTAAAAAGGACATTATGAGTTCGAGCCCCCAGTACATTGCGCTTCCGCTTGGCGCCATCCCGCACGTCATCAATCCCAGCATGGCCAATTCAGTCCTGTCGGACTTGATACCGCGACTCACCCACTCTAACGCAATGATACGCAAGAAGACTGTCGTTACGCTGTACAGACTAGCCCTGGTATATCCCGAGACACTGCGACCAGCATGGCCCAAGATCAAGGAACGTTTGTTGGACGACAATGAGGATCCGAGCGTGACGGCTGCCATTGTCAATGTCGTGTGCGAGTTGGGATGGAGGCGGCCCCAAGACTTTCTGCCGCTGGCGCCTAGGTTGTTCGATCTCTTGGTTGAAGGAGGAAACAACTGGATGGCCATTAAGCTTATCAAACTTGTAAGTGCCATTACAGTACCGGTGCAACTCGTTGCTAAAAAGCGTCCAGTTTGCTACTTTGACTCCATTGGAACCCCGATTGATCAAGAAGCTCCTTCCCCCTCTAACCAAAATTATTCGGGAAACATCTGCCATGTCTTTGCTGTACGAATGTATCAGTGGCATCATCCAAGGTGGCATTCTAGAAGCTGTTGAAGGCACCCCGGAAGGAGAAGAGGTTGCAAAGCTGTGCGTTGGCAAACTACGCGGCATGATGATAATAGAGGGTGACGCAAATTGTAAGCGAAGATATACTGAAATACAAGGTTCGACTTCTCATCATTCTGCAGTAAAATACGTCGCATTGCTTGCTTTCGAAAAGATTGTCACGTCCCATTCCTATCTTGTCTCGCAGCAACAAGACGTCATTCTTGAATGCATTGACGATCCCGACATTTCAATACGGATGCGCGCCCTGGATCTTGTAGTTGGCATGGTCAATGCCGATAACTTAACAGCCATTGTAGGACGATTGATGCGACAACTACGTAATGCGCCAATTGCGACCGCAGTAAACGATCCAAACAACGACCGAGGCAGATTGACTGGTGTCACACCTTATGGCGATGACGATTCAGATGCCGAAGATAGTTTACCACAACACGAACAAAAATCAGACCAACCACCACCCTTGCCGGATGACTACCGCACAAGCGTGATTCGGAGGATTCTGGAAATGTGCTCGCGTGATACGTACAGCAACATTAGCGACTTTGAATGGTACATTGATGTTCTCACCCAGCTTGTCCGCGTGTCACCAGCTACGAAGGCAACTTCGGTGATGGAAGAGGAGGAGGAAGAGTCAGAACATGCCGATGAGATTGGTGCTGGCATTGGGCGTGAGCTACAAAATGTCGCCATACGGGTGAAGAGCGTTCGGCCAGAAGCTGTCGAGGCTGCACAGTCACTTGTCCTTGTTGATCGTCGGGACCAGATGTTTCCTGCTTCAGGTAATGGCGGTCAAGGCGTGCTCGAGTACGCTGGCTGGCTTGTGGGCGAGTATGCCCGCTATCTCACTAGACCGGAACCTGTCATGACCTCCCTCTTGCATCCTACTTCGCTTCAGCTGCCTTCAAAAACCCTCGCCATTTACCTGCAGGCAATACCCAAAGTCTTCTCCAGCATGGCTGGAAACGATCAAATATCATGGACTCCGGAACGCAAGACACTAATGTCTCTTCTCATGGCACGAATCATCCACTTTCTTGAGCCACTGTCTACACACCCTAGCCTTGAGGTGCAAGAACGTTCGGTTGAGTACCTGGAACTAATGCGCCTTGCCGCAGAAGCCGCGTCGGGTACTGCTGCTAGTGCAGATCAGAACGAGTTTACTGATCCACCTCTTCTGCTTACACAAGCCATCCCTGCCCTCTTCTCTGGAGCTGAGTTGAATCCAGTGGCCCCTGGCGCGCAACGCAAGGTTCCCATTCCCGAGGATTTGGATCTCGATACGCCCATCAACCCCAATCTGCAGCACCTGCTTTCTGCAGTCGATGCGGAAGGCTTTGAGACAGAAGAAGATGACGTCTATGCCGCATACTCTGAACCAGTTGCCGCATTGACAGAAGCACCAACCGTTTCAGCGCCAGCGGCAGACCGCCTCGATGGCTCGCAAAAGGAGTCAACATCTTATCAAAATGCTACAGAAGACGAGTATCTGGATCCCGATATCATTGCTCGCCGGAAAGCAGAACGTAGAGAACGATACAAAGACGACCCCTTCTATATTGACCCTGAAGGGGACAACAGCGGACCAGTGACACCTCTGAGTCGAATCGTACGCGATGGAAACAGGGAGAACAACGACCTGGACATTGATTCCATCCCGATCATGGAGCTCAACCTTGACAGCAAAGGCTCTTCCTCTGAACACCTTCCGCGGTCACGGAGCCCTCGCAAACCGGTGCGCAAAGTGGATATCATGGGCGACGAGACGCTTGGATCTGCTGCACCAGAACCTTCCATCAGCAGAGAAGACAGTACGCAAGGGCGCCCGGGTAAAGCGAAGAAGTCGCTCCTCCAAGTCGACAGTTCGGGTCTCGGTGCGCTGAGTCTGGACGACGACGACGCCCCGTCGAATCGCAAGCTTACGGCGCTCGAGATGGAGCGCAAGGCGCAGGAAGATGCTGAGATGAAGCGAGCACTACAAGAGGTGGAGCGCTTGCGACTGGAGATGCAGCGCGCGAGTGAGAGACTATTGGTCAAGGAGGAAGTTGCAGTCAAGAAGAAGAAGAAGAGAAAGGTGAGAAAAGTTGCTGTTGAGGGAGACGAGCCGGATGAAATGGCACCGGAGACTACTATAGGTGTTGGTGGCGGTGAAGGAGGAGATGGAGAAGAGGCAAAGACGACGCCTGTCAAGAAGAAGAAAAAGAACAAGGTCAAGGCTGTTGAGGGTGACGGTGATGGACAGGACAAGGATGGTCAGGGGCAACCCGAGGCTGGAGACCAAGACGAAACCAAGGTCAAGAAGAAGAAAAAGAAGAAGAGGACGGTAGTCATGGATGAGGGCGGAGATGCGCCCGCCGAGTAGTAGAGTACTGTCAAACAAATAACTCGTGAAAAGGCGACTTTTTTACTTGTTGACTAAACAAAGCCTTGAAATGCTACTTGGTATCTTGGGTGTACCATGCATGCCTCCCTGTATAAAAATAACGCCATTGTCACCCTAGATAATTGTACCAAAGAATATGCCAATTGGCCTCCTCCTCTTCTTGAATCCTCTTCACATCTCCCTTATTGCCACATATGTACGTTCCACTTTCTCCTTCGCAATCGAACTCCCGTCTCATCGATATACCGAAATTCGTATGCGTGGCGTTCGCCCGACCCGTATCTAGTCTTTTCTATCTCTTAAAAGAAGAGTCGAAGAACCTCGAACAGCAAACCGCCGCAAAGTACGAATGCCAGTACAACTGTAAACACACACATGTTTTAGCCACAATGCTCTCTCTCTCTACTCTGCGCGCGCGCCCGTCTCGAAAAGGAAAGATAGAGGAGGAGGAATTCCAAGAGGAAAAAAAAACGTACTAATCCATGGCTTGCTAATAGGCGACTTCTGGGGCCCTTGCTTCTTGACGACTGGCACGTTTGATTCGGGCTTGCCCATCTTCTTCTCCTGCGCTTTGGCAAAGCGCATGTTTGCTTGTCGTTGCTGCGGTGTTTGCGCCTATGGTAGTTTCGCTTCTGTTAGCCCATTTCCCTCCATATCATCTGACTTGCGTGTTGCGAAAAGAAAGGAAAGGGATAAGGGGAAATCGAGGGTCTCGAGGGAGTTTGGATTCGGGGGGGAAACTGGGTTAAGGACAAGGGGGAGGGGAAGGGGACGGTTGCGTACCATTGTGGTTGGTGTTGGTGTTGTTCCAAGGGGCGAAGTTGGTGTGATGCAGCAAGAAGAGAGGCGGGGAAAGTGTGGCGAGGCAGAGAGAAGGAGAGGGAAGAGGGAGGAGTGAGTGAGAGAGGCTGTGGGCGGCAATTCCAGGGTCCAAGAGGGTGGTCGGGTTGTGCAAGGTGTTCGGTTTGGAATGAGACCCACGCACGGACCGCGTTCCCGCCGGCGGCGCTAGGACGTGGCAGGGTTGCGGCGTCGTGGTTCGCGTATTGCGGAGATGGAGCGCGGAGGTTTACTATTTGTGATTTTTGTGTCAGGCACGGTTACGAGAGCTTTACAACCCATTTCTACATCAAATCGCCGTTCGCGTAAGAGTTACGCATCGCATAATCGCTAAACACTGCATCTTCGCAAGATATTCCCGACTTCGTTTTTTTTTCCCTGCATCTCTCTTGCCGATTTCCTGGGCCCCAATCCCACTTCCTTCGCCGAGCGTGCGAAGCGGGGAATCTCAACACAAGACACCAGCTGCGCAATGAACAATGCTCGAGTAACCCGGTCGCTATGGAGGCAAGCAGCGATGCACACAAGACCAGCAGTACGAGTTTCGCGAAGAAATCTCGCAACTGAGACACAACCTCCGCTGCCACCGCCGCCACGCAAAGAGCCATCGCGAGTAGTACGTCATAACCCTCCCCCCTTCCGCAAGTTGGCCAAAAAAGCCCTCTCAACATCACCACATCCCCCTCCTCCCTTCAATCTTGTGTACTGACGAAGCTCAAATAGGGCGCATACTACGGCACCTTCGGTTCCCCACTCCTCAAATGCTTCCTCGGCGCCCTCTTCACATACCAACTCGCCTACTACCTCTGGTACAAGCTCGAAACCGTCGAAGAACGGCACGAAACGCGCTTGGAAATTGCTGAGTTGCAGCAAGAACTAAAGCAAGCGCTCGAGAAGCAGAGTCAGGCGGCGCAGGAAAAGTGGGACAGGGCAGCAGAGGTGTTGCAGAGGGAGAAGCATGAGTTAGGGGAGGCGGTGGACGCCGTGGTCGAAGAGGTGAGGGAGGGGGCGGATGAGGTGGGGAGGGGGACCAGGGCGGTGGGGAAGGTTGCGGGTGGGGGTTGGTGGCCTTGGTAATGGGGTGACGATGGGGTGATGTCGGCGTGTGGAGAGGTGCATGGATGTGTAGTATTATAAGGATGCGTAATTGATGCATGGGCAATACCCTTCCTTCTCTGCAACAGTACCCTTGGTTGTGTTGTACATGGACATATTATCGATTCTCTTGCCAACTTTCGCTTCCCTCGAGCTCCCTTTGTTTGTGTCGACACTCTCTTGAATCGCCTGTTCTCGCTCTCATTTCAATCTTCTTCTCTTTCTTCATTCTTGCATCGTCCTCTTTCATGCAAATGCCGTCTCGGCTGCCTCAATCTTTGTCGTAGTTTTGCTAATTCGAGTGTATACAGCTACTTCCACATACTCAACAAAGGCAGTAGCTTTGAGTACTCTCTGGTGCGTACCGACAAAACAGGGGTTTCTACATGCCGCTGCTTGAAGCTTCAAAAATCCAGGACAAGTGTGTCGCTCCGAAAGTGGTACACAACGGTGTGGGCGATTGCATATCAGGAAATTTTCGTATTCCTCCAGGCACGAAAAGTCTCAACCGACGAACTCGCCAGATACTAAGGACTCCCATGGCTTTCCGGTATCCCACACACGCTTCATGAGTATGCTCATTTTTGGCACCTACCATCAATGTCAGTACGACCAAACCCAAAAATGTATCTGGGAACCACTCACCTGGTTGAGTCCAAAGCCCTCCACCCCCCGAAGCCGATCCAGGATTTTCTCCCTCTGCTCCTCATCCTGTGCATCGCAGCCCGCAGTAAATATGGGAAATAGCAAGCAAGCTTCTGCCGAACTGCCCTTCCTGATCTTGAACAATAGCTCTACAATCGCCCTAACCGCACGCTGCACTTCTGGATCCGACGCGGATTTCCCCAGCACACGACGATGCAATTGGATCAGACCAGCCCAATGGAAAAGTTTGTTGGTAGCATGAAACCCTGTCGTGTCCCACCCTTGTTCAGGCTCCGACACGGCGTCTGAGCCGTGAAGACATGCTGTCCGAATATTCCGGTCTGACAGCCCATCTTCTAGCGTGCGTCGAATGCTGATCGCTTCCTCCACAATGTCCTGGCTCGGTACCCAATCTTCACGGATATTACCGTGTTCATCAATACGATGCGGTTCGCAGCGTTTAGACAGCTCGGAAATACGCGCCAGACTGCAAACGCAACGGGTTGTGAAACCCATTACGCAGTCGATCTCGAGGTCATCGTCTGCGGATTCGTTTTCACTCGACCAGTAGAAAGATCCAAGTGGCATGTCGTTCTTGTGTCCGCTCAGCGAGCCTACAACATCGAGATAGACGAACCAGCGCGAGAGAAAGTAGGCTGCGAGATCTCTTCGCCTCATACCCCTGGGTCCACCGCGCTGATTGATCATCCGGCGCGCCATAGTGAGGTGGTCCTTCCAGGATATAGGTACTTCAAATGTACCCGGGGAGATGATTTCCAAGCTCGCCATCATAATGACTGACGCCAGAGTGTTGTCAGAAACTTCATTTGGGTTTTCTTGAAGCGTCTGTCGCAATTTGGGAAATACGTCTTGTACCCAGACTGCGATGCGATTTGAAGGCTCGGGATGGTTGAGCATGCGCGCCCGATGCGAAGCACTGTAAGAGAGGAGAAGACTTAATAGGTTTTCATCCTTGACAGCCACTGCGAAACATCAGCAGGTTTGTTCATCATGTCCGTGAATACTCACTTTGGGGTAATATTTGTTGGAACGGATTCCTTTCGCAATGATGTGGAATCAAAACCCTAGCTGTATGATTGAGGAAATGGTGAAAATAGATGAGGTTCATTTGGTTCTCCATGAGGAGAGCCGGCAGGGGCTCTAGCGACTTGGAAATCCTGATGGGTACGGGTTTTGCGTAGTATCCTCCCTTTTCAAACGCCATGACTTTGCTTTCGGATTCTCCGCTGCCGTACAGAGTTTCTCCGTCGAAACTGACTGTGTTGTTTTGCGGGCTGTACATGGCAATGGCTGCGGAGTCGTTGTTCCTTGGAGTATCCAAGTCCGGAAGACCCAGGTCATAGCCGTATGTCGTTGAAGCTGAATCAGCTATTGGATACTGTGTTCCACGTTCGCCCTGGTTAGTGTTTTGAAAATCGTGGATGAGGGATTGCACAGATACACGACACGGGTTTGGAGGTGAGAGAGCAGGGTCTTGTGATGCAGATGCTGCGTGTGAGATAACTCCTTCAGAACCGACTGATGCGGGTGTTTGAGGAAAGTTACGATAAGGGCTATGCGGAGTTGGCGAAGCTGTGTTTGGCGAATACGAGTCTGAGTATGTCGGTCCAGGCGATCCGCTCAAGGCCCTATATCTCTGGTGTCTGAACATGACGTCTGTGGGTATTTGCTGGGGCGGTGTTGTAGTATTTGTGGGGGTAAGGGCCGAAGCATTAGTATTGAACGTGCCGAAACCAGATGTGGTAGATGATTGACCATCAAAAGTGTTCTGAAAATGTGACTGTGTATATGGTGCTGGTGAGGGCATATCGCTCTGGAAAAAAGAGCTGCCTTCAATCGAACCTGCACTGGTGACACTAGGGAGCATGGCCTGCATCGTGATTGGGTCAATGTCCTAGGTAGTGATACGAGGGGCGATGATCGAAGGGGATCTTACATGCTGCAACTGCATCGGTGATTCGGATGTTGACATGAACATTCGGGAAGTATCTTCGACTTGAAAGCATGCTTCATATGGGCTGTCCTCGGTGGCGCTCGACGCGTCCAAACAGCTATCAATTTTATCCCTTCTTGCACGACCTCCCCAAATGAGTCGAATGCTGTAGTCGCATGCTTCACCTTGCCGTTCACAATTTATACACGATGGCTTTTCTTCTCCACTGAGGCAAGGTTACTGTCGCTGTCTGATAAACAGTGGCTGGACAGCTACTTACCATTTTACTTTTCGAGCCTTGCATGGCCTATGCATGATTAGTGGGGATGCGCGCGCATACTTGGGGGTCATGGAATTACCAGCAGCCGTTTCGGGATCTCCTTTTCGGCTCGACGCCTGGTTTCTTCGGGCGAGGCATCGTGTCCACAGGTCAATTTGCTGGACGTGGGTCGGACAAAGAAAGCAAAGACACTACAAGCGACGTCTGTATGTAGTAGAATGCTAGGTGTTTGTTATGCGCGTGACACGAAAGAGGGCTAGTATGGATGGTTGTCTCTACAGTCCAAGGCGCTGGTCGAATAGTGGCGAGCGCTGAATGCACCAAGCTTCCGAATCCGGCATACGACTGCTAGGCTGGCTGCACAAATCGTGTGATTTCGGCGACTAGGGCTGATCATTGCATGGCTAACGCGAAGAAATCATTTCCACGCTCAACTGCTCGGTTTGTGCGACATTACCACGGTATGCACTGCATTCGTCGCGACGACGGGCAAAAGATTGGAGATGAGGAACGATAAGGTTGCCCCCCCGCACTTCGCACCACGCGCCAGTCACAACGTCCGAAGTTCCATCCGTCGGGTGCGGCGGGTCTGACACCGCCTCTTGTCGCATCCGGTGGAGCATGCAGGGAACACCCAGGCGACGTCTGATAACCGGAAACTCTATTCTCGCGCTTGTGCGGACCGAGAAACAGTTTTTCAGGTACTCGACGCTTTCTACTACTGCCACCATCTATTCCAGACATGAATGTTTATTACATATCGAAACATGGGAAAACATCACATCACGAGGCACGGAAACTACTCCTATTTGTATATTTGAAAAATGTATATTCATTCATTAACCATGCTAGATACAGTCCTCCTGCTGCCAGTCTAGACGAGTGTTTGCGCTAAAAGACATTACTATCATAATCTGACGCTCCATAGTACTTGGCTAGACCCTGACTAGCAGACACCATCTCCATGTCGCAAAGGAACGTGAAAGTCGTTATTCGTTACTGAAACGCCGTGTGTCGAGGATGAATAAAGTACGTGCTCGCAAGAATCCGGAAGATGCCGCTTCACCTACTCGATGTTGATCTTGCGAGGCTGGGGTGCCTGAGCCTTGGGGACGACGATACTCAGGATGCCGTTCTTGAGGCTGGCCTTGACATTATCCTGGTCGACGCGCGCTGGGAAGGCGAAAGAGCGGTGGAACTCGCCAACAGAGCGCTCGCTGACCCAGTACTTGGCTTGCGTGTCGTCGTGCTTGGTGACTCCCTTCTCCTGCGACTGCTTTGCGACCTTGTTGTTGGACTCGGATGGATCATCCTCGACCTTGGGCTGGTGGCCGAGCTTCTTCTGGTCCGACTTTTCGCCACTCTCGATGAAGCCCTGTGGGCGCTGGCCTTCCTCGCGGACGTGCTCGTGGCGGCCAGAAATGGTTAGCGTGTTGTTGTCGGTCCACTCGATGTTGACGTCCTTTTGCTCAACACCAGGAAGCTCGCCGTGAAGTTCGTAGGCATCCTTGGTCTCCTTGACATCGAACTTGGGAGTGAAGGACCGCACGCTCTCGAATTGGCGGTCGAGGTTGCGGAAAGCCTGACGGTCGTACTCGTCAAAGAGACGGAACATGGGAGCAAACTCCTGAGTAAACCTTGGGAAGAGAGACATGATTGCTGGAGTGTTTGAGAAGTGTCGAACGGTTGTAGGCTTTGTGATACGGTTGAGTTGTCGTGGAATTCGTGAGATTGTTGAGCGCAGTGATTGCATAAGAGAGTTGTTGTGGCTTGTTTCTGATGTCGAGCTATGTGAGCGGATTCATGGGCCCTTTATACGTGAAAGATGGCTTCGTCGAAGTATCGAGACTGCTCCAGCGCAAGGTTGCGAGGAGCATCGGAGATGGTTCAGGGCGTTTCTAGTGGTTTCGAGCATCGTGTTTGCCGTCATGAAGACGTAACTCCATCACACCACATGGGCATATGTGGCAGGCGGGATATCGTGTGGAGAGAGGAAAGACTGTGTTGTGTGCCTCAGCAACCCCGCCCGCAGAAGGGACGCGCACCCGCTCGAAACTTCTAACATCAGCCCATGTCACGTGACCGAGCCACGCCAACACTCGAGCGGGGATGAGCCAGCATTGCTGCATTTCTGTTCAAACGCCATATCACCAGATTCCCAAAGAAGCACATACTAGTACGTGAGTAGTAGTAGTAGACGCCAATCGTTCTGTGTCATGGTCCATTGTCTCCATGCTTGGCGCGTTGTTGCTCTTGTTGCTGCGGTAGCGCCCATCTTCCTTGGCCAGACATCCCGGAATCAATACATCTTGCTGCTACTGCTACCTGTGGATATCCCGGATACCCGGCTCTGACCACGACTCCAGCTGATTCCTTCCGCGGCGCAGCAGATACTCAATGGTGCCAAAATCTTTCTTGCCAACATCCCGGTGTTTGTGGAACTGTGATCTAGACTCGACATCAGTCGCCAATTGATGCTTCATTGGACACATAATCTCGCACCTTGCAAAGTCACGAAAGTTGGCTTGCGTTTCCTGCATCTACGTTAGGAGGGTGCATGTGTACTATGTTCAAAACGCAGCTGACATACGATTGGTTTTTGTCTCACGGCTCGCAAGCATTGCCGGTAGAGTGACAACACATCTCTCTGAAGTCCAGATAATCTCACCATGATTTTGTAATCCGACGTTTGTGGTTGTAGAGAGATTGATGTTGGTTGTGAACTTACAACCTTTGGAAGGACTGTGGCGAATTAATACCTAGTCCTAATACGGCTAGTGCAACAGACGCGATCTTGAGGCTGACATCCATGATGCAGGCATCGCTGTTGTGAATGCATGCAACCCCAACACCTCAAACCAAGACACACTCCTGAAGGCATCGCACTCGAATAAATCTCCGCAGATCCAATTGTTGTATACTACTTTCAAAACATGTAGGTCATTCAAACTAGTACTAAGAAAATAACGACTGGCTCCTCTAATGCCAAATGCCACGACTGGGCAAGGTGATCGGTACCTCCAACTGCGTCGCAACATAACCATTCGCTAGAGATTTCAGGGTAACGCACGTTGAAAGAGTATTCCTCCCAAACTAATATGGCCAAAATATCAGACTAGGCGCTATCGAACGCGTTCAGCTTGACCTTGATGTTGTGTGGCCACACAAACCATTGTTTGTGCAAATCCCACTCTTTGCTAGGATCCTCAAGGTCAATCTGATACACCATTAGCACAAACTCCATCTAAAAAGTTGAAATTGCCGGCTACAAAGCGACGTACCTGGTATTTTCCAAATAGAGTTGCAACGACTTTGTACACCTCTACAAGAGCGAGCGCCTTACCAATGCAGACACGGTTGCCGCCTCCAAATGCCATGTCGGCATCTTTCATTCTCCGGATCCTAGCCTCGTAGCTGGCCGCGTCCTCCTTCTCGCCACACAGCCAGCGCTCTGGGCGGAACTCGTACGGCTTCTCTCCATACACATCTTCTTTGTAGTGGATGACCCACGGATTCACACCAACAATTGTGCCCGGCGGTAGGACTGTCCCATCAGCCAAGGCGAGACCTGTAGAAGCTACAACTCGCTCAAAGAGTTGGCCGACGACGGGGTGCATGCGAAGACCTTCCTTAATACAGGCATCAAGGTAGGGAAGCTGCTCAATGCTGCTGTAGGGGGTTGGGTAAGGTATTCGTGCAGAGTGAAGTTCCTGTACCAGACGCGTCTTGCAGGCAGGAGTCTTGAGAAGATGATAGAATATGCCTTTCATAACGATTGCGAGTGTGTCAGCTCCACCAAGCACCTATGCCAAAGGACCGTTAATATCAGTAACTTGATCTAAGCGGAAGCTCGGCGTCTAGGAGCACTCCCACTGCAACCTGGTAGGGGACATGATACTTACATTGATAATCATATATCCGATGACTTCGTTATCGGTAACAAGCTCGGGATGCTCCTTTTTTGCTTCGAGAAAGCCATTGAGTAAGTCGTTCCTGCCTTGACCGAGTCCAGGGTTTTGCATGCGCTCCATGAAACGCTCGACAGAAAAGCCAGCAGCTACGGAAAAGTCATCGAACTTGTACAGCGAACGAGGCCAGTATGGGTTTTTTCCAAGCCATTTATCTAGAGCGGGAATTTGGCCGACCTGGATGGGATCAGCATCGGCTCGAATATCATTTCGTAACTGTGAGTCTAGGCATTCACGTACCACGGAGAAATAACGCATCACGCGCTCAGCAGTAGCTATGCTTGAGGTTGGCATGTCGAGTCAGCATGTATGTCACATATACCTCGGCTCGTAAAGCTACTCACATATCACCAATGTCTTTGCCTTCGTCCATGAAGCCTATTCGCTTGCTCCAAGTCATGTCGCCGAGAAAATCCCAGGCGAAGAATGAGATCCAATCGGCAATGTCACAGGTTTTGCCTTTGTTGGCGCCTTCAGTGAAGCGGGATTCCATACGAGCACACAAGACACGGAGATTTTCGTCCATGATGCTTTCGAGCTGAAGCGCATTCTGAAGACTATACAACTTCTGGACGGGCTTGACCATCTTAGCGTGGAACTCATTGCTGCGTGTGCTGAAGATATTTTGGATAATGTGGCCATCTTGAAGGGCATCATTGATGGTCCGAAGCACAGTTAGTACACTATTGCCATTGTTATGTCATGCACATCATTGAGCTTGTCTTACATAATAATCACTCTTTTGGAAAAGTCAGCGGTTGTACACGTCCCAACTATACAGGGTTTTGTGAGCTTACCTTCAAAAAGGTTCCACGGGTATTGTAGATCGTCTTGATTAGATTGGCATCTGCGATGCTGACCGTATTGGGGCCAAGTCGGACAACGTCACCATACTGGTCGTGGAGCTTCCTCTGCGTCTCAATGTGGGTCTGGCCGTAATGATTAAAGAAGCGCCAGATGTTGGAGAACTTGGCTAGGAACGGCCCGGGAATCTTCTTTAGTGGGGATTGAAGGTAGGCCAGAACGTATTGGGTGATGAGAAAGACAGTTCCCAGGCCAATTGCCTTTACGAGTAGCCCCACTAACCCCATTGTTGTGTACACGATGTATGTATCCTGTAGTGTGATCGGGACCGTGGTAAGGGATGAAACAGATTTGCAAGGGCAGCTGAGAAATCGGGACCAAGACGCTCTACATAAGAATGGCCACTCTCTGCTAACTATGCACATGTTATAACTCGGGCGAACTAGGTGATCCTGTGGGGCTAGCATCCCGTCTCTTCGCATGGCCGGATGACATTCTTCCTACTACAAAGGGCCGTATACCGCTGTGAGGTGGAAACGTCGCCACGCTCGCTTGAAAGGATGCATTACTTTTGCATGGGACCCCACCATCCCAGTGTGCATTTGGTGATTGACACGCCAGGGTTTACCGACTTATGTCAGGCTGGCCGGTGCTCCCGGACGACACCCTAGGCGTTGCGGGACGGGGGAGGCAGTCTCTCCGTCAGGATCCCGTGATTAGTGGATCTGACCAACGTCGCCAAGTGTGTTCCCAACCGACCAGATAGCAGATCCTCTGCCACATTTCCGGGATAAGAAGAGGGTATCTGTAATTGCTGCGGCATTGAGCGACACGGGAGCGCGACTCCACTAGACGACGCCTCGTTACTGCGGTCGCGTAGTACAGCTGGGGCCAAAAGCCACAAAAAAAAGCAAATGAGAACTGACACAAGCTGGCCCCTCCCCACCTGCATCCGTCCAAATGGAGACGCGGGCCCCAGTCGATGAAGCGCGTACAACGGCCCGAGGCGGGAGCTTCGCCTGTCGTGCTAACCCATAACTCGTACACAGTAAGTAGGTTTCGCGCAAATCGACATGCTCCCCCCTCACCACCTCCCCCTCCTCCATCTCTCTTGATCGGCCAATAGTGACAGGCCCGCGGAATCAGCAACATGTGAAGCTATGCACTCGTGGCTCTTGTCTACTACGCCATCTAGTACCACGCTCGCTTAGTACATGTCGATTACCGAGTCTTAGAGATTACGATTCGCATACATATGACAGGAGGCTTACGCTTGTCATTGCCTTCACCAGTGGGTGCTATCTTTTGTATCACTGCGGCGGCACTAGGGTATACATAAGTAGTCACAGATCTGCCGTACGGAGCGTCGGATCCTCTTCGTCCGCGTATTCTTTTTCTTCCAGCCCGCCCCCCTCCCTCGACACGGATCATATACAGAGCTGGTGGCGACGCCAGCGCAGCCTACCCAGTTAATCGCCGTTCATAGCAGTTGTGTGTACGGAGCAAGGTGCTGTTTCAAGCTTCGCGTTAAGCGGAAAGAAGATTGACAACAGCTTTGGGAAACGGTGCAGTCGATGCAGATGGGGTTGCTAGCGCATCGCTTGTTCAGGGCACTTCACCGTCCACGCGCACTGGCTACATAAAGACGGCATAGCTAGTTGTCGCCAAGCCTTCCATGAAAATGGAGATTGGATGCAGCGCCCGGGGAAGCAGGACAGACATCCGGCGCTAGGTTTGATCCAAGCTGCAGGTGTCCGTCTCTCACATGGCTGCTGCCAAAAGGTTGGTCAGAAGCCTAGAGGGTTGATCTCTTCCATGTCAAGCCACGCTTGGATTAAGTAACCGATTCCGTCTTTGAATCTTTGTGCAGCAGGATTTGAGCCACATCATCATATGGTTTTCGACAGGGCTGTGAGAGGAATAGCGCAGTAAGAAAAGCACCGCGTATGGGCCCCGAAAATAGCCCAGGGTGAGATTTATTCGTCTCGCTTTGGAGGCTGCCACTTCTTCTGCCTGGAGTGGGTGTTGGAGACCCAGCGATCAACCAGACCCTCGGAATTGTTTGCAGATGCATTTTCTTCTTCAGCGTGGGCATCGTATTCGTTGAAAGGAGGCATAGAAACAGCGACGCACTCCTGCTTTTTGCCCACCAAACGGACCGGCTTTCGACGAGACAGCCCATAGTCGCAGGTTTTAAATTCTCCGTCTTGTCTCACTCCTTTCTTGCATATACCGCCATAGCTTCGAGATAGCGTTTACTCGAGTTTCTCGTTTACTTCAAGACGGACACCCTTTCACCCATCACTGGAGTCACACGGCAGTGTCTCACGCCAGCCGTGGGTCATTAGACAAAGACAAATCAGCCCCATTTGCGGGCAGGACCACTGAGCCACTAGCGACCAACATGGGCAAACCAGCAGACTTTGCAGACATACTCAATGGAGTCATGTGGTTTCAGGTCTTTCTCGCTACCGTCTTCATTGCACTGCGCCTCTATACCCGACAGTGGATTGTACGAAATTTCGGATGGGACGATGTATTGATGTTGGTCAACTTGGCAAGTCAATTTTTCTGCATTCTCCCACCGTCTACAAGGATCGCCTTCTAACTTTTCTAGGCTACCTTTATAGGTTATGTAGCCTGCATATCCATCGGGGTCAACTACGGAGTTGGAAAAAAAACGGCTGACATTATCCGTCTCGACCTTGACTACTCCAAAGCCATCATGTGGGAGGCGATAGGCCAGGGAATATGTATCATGGGAATCGCTGCCTCCAAAGGTTCGGTGGCGCTCTTTCTCTTACGCATCGTTGTCAAGCAGTGGCATGTCGGCATCCTCTGGTTTTGCATAATAAGCACTACCATATTGTGCGTTATTACCACGGCGCTCCTGTACGCC